TATTTTATTGATTTTTTTTACAGAGAGGAAGGGAGAGGGATAGAGAGTTAGAAACACCGATGAGAGAGAAACATCGATCAGCTGCCTCCTGCACACCCCCTACTGGGGATATGCCTGCAACCAAGGTACATGCCCTTGACCGGAATCGAACCTGGGACCCCTCAGTCCGCAGGCCGACGCTCTATCCACTGAGCCAAACCGGTCAGGGCTCCAAATAGTTTTAAGCAATGACCCTCACTCCAGTCTCAGGAGGAGGAGGCATCCGGGGTCTATTCACGAGCGGGGAGCCAGTAGGACAGGATCAGCAGTTAGGAAGACAGACAGACGGGCGCTGGAGAAAGGAGGCGGGCTGAGCGAGCTAGCTCACAATCAGAGCTGGTTGGTAACCAACTCCGGGCGCCCGGTGTTTACCTATGCCGCCATCTTGGTCTCCTCTCGAGAATTTTTCTTAACTCCTGTTTCAAGGAAGTCATCTGTCCTGCTGGCTCCACCACACACTGCCCCCCACTCCTGCCACCCCTGCCCCCACTCCCGCCCTTCTGACTTCTCTATTGCTTAGTGACCCCGTGTCTGCTCACATTTATACACGAAGACCTAAAAACCGTAGCCTTTGGAGTCATCTCTCCTGTTGGGAAGAAATCACTACTAAACATCCACACGTTAATATGTAAATCCACAGCAGCCAGACCTTTAACTAACAGTAAATGGGGAATGAAACGTATGTTCCCCTAACGGAATCATCCTCAGAGGAGTCTGTTAAGGCTCCCAAACGACGTTGTGTGCGAGAAATACCGCCCTCCCTTTGCCCGATTTCCCAGGTTTAGGAGAGTTTTTCTTAACTCATGTTTCAAGGAAGTCATCTGTCCTGCTGGCTCCACGCACTGCCCCCCACTCGTGCCACCCCCGCCCCCACTCCCGCCCTTCGGGCTTCTCTATTGCTTAGTGACCCCGCGTCTGCTCACATTTATACACGAAGACCCGGCCTGGCTTCAGCACTGTGGTGAGGTCCCTGTTGGATCTCTGTTCTTGGTCCTCGGGCGGGTCCACAGCCCAGCCTCCTCCCGGGGGTGCGGGAGAGCCGGGCGCATGTGGGTTGCAGAGGGTCCTGTGCTTGGTGCGATGCTGCTCTCATTTAAAGATTCTTTGTGTATTTTGAGCAAGGGGGGCCTGCATTTTTATTTAGCACCAGGCCCCCCAGATGATGTGCGTGGTCCCGGCTGGGGGCAGGAATAACGAAGACCCGCGTGTGGGATGCTGGGGATTCAGAGGACGCCGACCTCGCCCTGTCCTCAAGGTCCTCGCCGTCCTTTGTGCGTGGGTGAAGGGGGGGACGAGGCGCCAGC